GTTCGACGTGAACCACTCAATTATAGCTAGATAAAGGAATTAAGTCACTTAAGTGACTTAACTTTTACTAGAATAACGGTAAATTAACTTGCTTAACGGTAAAGTTGGCTCGGATTACAAGGACACGACTACGTAAAGTAGGCATCTAAGCCAGTGTTGTTGTATTGTACCACCTTATCATCTTCTGGCTGGCAACAACGTACTCCAACAATGCTAACAATAGCATCGAAGTAGTCTCATTAGTCTGGTTTTCAGAAATTATTTGTAATATTATGTGTAAAAACCAAGCAAACGTCCGTTTTACGAATAGTCGATATTACCAATGACCTTTGCATCATCGACCAAGTAATAACGTTAAAAAGTCCGATTACGTACAGTTTTCAAAGTGATAATGTGTATTTTTCTTAATAATAAAATCAGATTTGTTGTATTTATTTATTGACAATTCAATATTTTCCATTTCTGCTATAATAGTCGCTATTAATTCAGTTTCAACGAACTACCACCAACGCCAGTCGTTAAAATGAGGGCACATGTTTATGATGACGAAATAAAAAAGTGTGTGGAAGTCAGCAACTTATTTGACACCGCGAAGCTAGATTTTCGCGAAGTGCATGTAAACAACACAATTGACTGATCTAAACACTACAAAACAGACAGAAAGGTCCATAAAGTATACAGACGTTTTAATGAAAATTAAAACAATATTTTGTTAAATGGAAGAATGCTATTAGCGATTAATATAATTTGTTTTTTATCGAAGGTAAATTTAGATAGGGCCTAGAGAATCTACTATCGTACTTAGATTGCGATAGAACACGCTGCTGCACTGGTAGGCTAGGTTAGGTAGTGGAAACTTACTTTCTCTACAGTAGTTTACAATGCAGTAGATGTTTTATTAAACAAGCCTTTCCACCGTGTGACGTCGATGGCCTGAAACTGGCTGGCTGTTTATCTGGCTCTAACTTTGGCATCGAACGCAATTAGGGGATTATCGTATCATGTTTCAAGACGGGTATATCTAGATAAAGTTCGACGTGAACCAGGCTATTGTAAAATAGACCCCAATGAAATTAACCCAGAACCATGAAAAAATAGCGTCATCTTAAATTTATGTAACATAGGTAGAAAAATAAAATGTTGATTGATTTTAATTGATACATATTACATATTAATTACCTTCACTATATCCTTCTCCAGAGTTCGAAGGTACATTTGGAAAGTCTGTAAATGAAATAGTAATTAAACATTTATACATTGAGTAATATTTTTGAATTGTACTTTTATTACATTAGTTGAATTTGTAGTATATTAAGAAATAATAGTCAAGTGCAGAGGACACAAAAATAAATAAATAAAATATTGATAAATATTACATATATATATAATAAATTAAGCTTTACTCTCATAGAATTAACAACTTGCTGGAGTGATACTGTTGTAATTAAAATATTCCTATGTTTTGAAAAGAGGGTAATTGAAACAACAGTAGCATTTCGAGACTAGTTGAGATATTTATTAAAAATCTCAACTACTGTAGTCTCAAAAAGTCTAAAACTGGTACAGTTTATGACAATATTTTGCACTACTATCAACTGAATAAAATGTGTTAGTTAATGGTTTATTAATGATTGGTCTATTAGATTTTTAAATGGAGTGATAACTGATGAAAATGTGAAATTTCTATTATCAGAAATTGGTAAAGGCTGAACCTAGCGTAACAGTGCAATCGTCGCATACCAGGGAACAAATGATGCAGACCTTAATTATTATAGGCCGGTTGCAGCAAAAATATATTCTGTTATGTTTGTTTAATAAAGAACTAGCATCAAAATGCAAGCTAGTACGTGATCAAAGTCTAGGCCTATCAATAACCATTCTCTCAAATCAGAAAAAAAATTGTGCTGATAAAATCAAACTGGATACTGCTTTTGGCCTAGCTTTTAACCAGTCAAAACTCTTCAATGTTTTTGCCTAAAGGTATAAAATCATTTAATTGAATGGTGAACAGAGTCCGCCCTCCAATTCAAGACCACTATGTGTACCTGGAATTTGGGGCAGTCTCGAGGTTCGGTCTTGAATCAGAAACCTCTAAATAGCACGGACTAAAGGTGGTCTCCAAACAGCGTAATTGGAGGGTTATTGAAACTGAAACCTTTACATGAAGACCAAAGATAAAAGTGGTCTCCAAAAAACAACATGGGACAGCCATTTATTTATTTCATAGAAACTGTTGTTTGCTTTTTAATTGTTTTGACCTATTTGAAACTGTTTAAAATACATTTTTTTAAAGTAAGTAGACATAACATTTACGCTTTATTTGTAGGGTCTATCCTTTACGTAAGAAAGATGTTTTTTCTTTTGTGTTACTTGGCTTTTCCTTATGTTCCCAATCGTCAATAAGCAATTCTCAAATTTTAAAATTCGTCATGGCCATGATAAAGTGGGGGGTTGTGCATCATTCAATGGCTGAAGAAGAAATTCGGAAATGTAGGATTGTATCAAATTAGTAGCTGATTCAATAGCACTTTTTTGGCAAGAGGTGCCAACAGATCATTGTAAAACATTTACTTAATATATTTCATGACAGCCAGTGGCCTAAAACTAAACATTTATTTTTTTAAACTAGCTTTTTCAAAGATAATACACTTAAGAAACCTTTATTTGGATAATACATCTGGTATACTATAATGTTGAAGTTCAATTTTTCGAATTAAAGAGTATTTAATTTGTTAAAAAACTTGAATCTGTTAGATTCTATTTTTAAATGTGGTCTTGAATTGGAGGTCATTTTGTCACTTCTATAAACGTGGTCACTTCTATAAACGTGGTCTTTAATTAGAGAGGTCTTATAAATAGAGGGTTAGCACAGTGTTAAAAGATAGGTGGTCAGTTGGTACTTCGAATAAGTGGTCTCGAATTAGAGGGGTCTTGAATTGGAGGGCGGACTGTATAATCCTAGTGTACTAGTATAGGAAATGTATTATTATATTTATCCCAGAAATATATTTTCAATTGAAAGCCAACAATAAAGTTGATACAGTCTTATCGATAAAGTTAAACTTGATCAACAAGACTGCTAATATTTTTTTAATTAAAGATTTAAATGACTTTAGGCAAGACTTTTTCATACCTTGTTGTACAAATCTGCTGCTTGTAAATACTGATAATTTTAAATACAGTCGAGTTCGCCTAAGTCGAATCTAATGGGACTGGCATAAAAAGTTCGAGTTATACAGATTTCGACTTGCACATTTTCGAAAAAAATATTAACATAGAACAATGCCCACAAAATCCAATTTCACGCAAAAACGAACATTTTCTTAAGTCCCAAACTCATTCCTATTCTTCTTTTAATAAAATACTTTTTGAAAACATGAACTCCCTATTCTAAATCTCGGACGATTTGTCCAATTCAGGACGGTAACACTCACTCGAAAAACCAGACGATAGTTTAATAGACATCGTTTAACGACAAGCATACCAGACGCTGTGAAAACGAGACGCTTAGCTATACTCCCATTGCCATCCCGGACTCGACTGTATAAATAAAATTTTATTTTTGGCTAATTAGTTTTTCTTTCTTTATGCAAGCCGCTGCCTTGAAATAAAACAAGATATATTTACACCAGGGGTGGGCATAAAAATCGGTCGGATGGCCAAAGTGAATTTTTGATTTAACACAGAGGGCCGCACCCAAACTTGATGTTTCCAGTGAGCTTCCAAAAACCTCCAAGCACTGCTTTTACACCACTTTATTTGTAGTTTTAATGTTATTTATTACATATGATCAGTGTCGGGCCGTAAAAAACAAGATGTTTTCTAGTCAATGTTGCCTGGCGGGCCACACACATATAGAAGTTTTAATTCATCTTTGCAGGCCACAAAAACACTTTTCCCACCTGTGATTTACAGTATTTCTTCATATAGATTTTAAGTATTTAACCATTTCATAAACTACACTTTTTACGTTCAACAATTATATTTTATATATTTTATAAGATGTTATTATATTTTCTTCTCCATCTGAATGTCTTTGGCAAACCTGCTTGCTAAATAAGAAAACAAAATTTTATTTTTATATTTTTCAGCCCTCCTTTGACGATGTCTACAAAAATAAGTTCGAAAAAACAAGGTATAAAACAATTCCTGCCTTAGGATAGAAGTACAGAGCACTGAAAATTTCTTTCTTACCTTCACTAGATGCCATATTGTCACTTAACCTTCTAAACTTTTTAAACTAATTTGATTGTGCTTCTCTTTACTTTCTGAAAAAAAAAAATATACAGTATTATAGTATGTAATGTACTGTACAGTAAACCTACAGTTACCTAATTACATAGATGTTTCCATAGTGTAAAATAAATTTAGCAATCATTCGCAATCAAACGCACATAACAATTATAGTAATACTACATTATAATATTATATTAAAACATGACACACATGGCTCTAAATGTGAGCACTAGTAACTTGCTTACCCCTATCACTTTGTACCTGTGCAACTGGTAAACTGGTACCAGCTGCTCTTGTCTGTCCACCACAATAGTTATGGACCAATACAATACCCTACTCATCTTGCATGATATAGATGGGTTTCTTTTAAAGCGCACAAAAGCCTATTGTGTAGGCATACAACCTGTTTACTGACTGTCAATTCAGTTTTGGGAAATCTTGATCATGTCCCGACCTGCTGCAATTTCTTACAAAATATATAACAAGTCGAATGGCCGAGCATTTGCAGGGGAGCTGCAAGCTACAGCCCAAATATTGGCACTGGTGCGCTATAAGAACCCAGTGCAATCTTGTTTGGTAGAATTCTTGAATACAGTTCAAATATTTTTGCGATTAAACTGCCAGATTAATTTTGTTTCTAAAGGTCAATATTTTTTTTTCTTGTCTGTATTGAGATACCCTAGGAATCTTTTCCTTATTTATAATGATCCTTTTGAGAGTTCAGTCTCATGTTGCTACTGAAGGTATGCTAATGATGAACATATTTTGTACTTTTCCTTACACATTTTTTTTATTAATCTCTTAATACTGACCTTATAATAGAAATGTGATTGTCCCATTCCACAATTAAGAAAACTAAATTGAAATTT